GAGATTAGTTCCTGAATAGGTAAGCTCAGGACAGCTTTTTGCCAACCTTCGACACCCATGATGCCGTTCTGACGTCAGTAGGTCTGTCAACAATAGAGTATTCATTGCGGCAGTGCGATCCATCGCGCTCTATGGATCAGAGTGCTCTAAGTCCTCTAAGTGCAGAGGACGTACTTAATTTGTTTGATCATCTGTTTATGATGGAAACATCGGATTAGCAATGCTGAGGTACGCCAGATGGCTTCAGGAAAATGAACTATCCTATGATGGATTAGTTACTCACACTTCGCAGGTTATGTTGATTAGGGCATGTACATGCCAGAAGACCTGCCTTGGAGAGCTCTCTCCGCCCAACCCTTTGTAGAGGCAAGCAAGAGGTGGACAGTGTATGACCTTAAAAACTTGGAATCACTAACCGGTAAACTCAGTCGGGTTGATAACTGTCACCCCCTTAGATGGTGACGCAGGGACCAAACTCATCAATGGTTAATGACAGTAGAAGGCATAGCTGAATCACGCAGTCAGTGGCACTCGTGGATCAAGTGTATCGCCTTCACTATGCAGCCGCCCAGTTTGCTGAGCTTACCAATCATGCCTTCGCCTACAGTGCTTGACTGTAACTCCCGTGTTCTCCAATTTTCCAAAACTGGAGCAACTCACCCTTAGTACATGGTTCATAGCTTGTTAACCGACTGACCACCTGACTTACTGGCTGTCTGTTTGGCCGACTGACTGGCTGAGTCACCACAATCGTTAAAAGTAGCAACATCAGTGTTGACGCTGATGTTTCACTGCCACACAGCCACAAAATTTAATTATACTTGAGGCCTTGAGGTGAAAATAGGAGAAGAGAGGAGGTGATGGAGGGAGGGATCTGTTACTGTCCTATAACAAGCATCCTGAGATGCCCCGGCCTCCCAGCGCTCAGTCGAACAATCTGGAAAGAAAATTGCAGCGCGAAAACAACTGATATCGTTCGTCTGCCATTTCTCGCAATGTATCCAGCCAGTTGTGTAGCAGGATCACATAGACCCCATCCTCAAACTCGGGGCGCACCAACAGCACAAACTGCTCGTAATATATTTGGTATCCTTCTCCCAAGCCATACGTTGTTCACCTCGCTGTTTACACCATTCTGAACGAGGCGCGAAGAACAGCACTAGCTTCGGTTGACGATGTTTCGGTATGCGTAGCGCATGGCTGAACCCTTCACGAATTCGTTGACGCCGTCCGAAACGAGCGGAGACATCGGTCATCAAAAGCCTGTAGACGCATCTGATAATTTGTCCGCAGAGGCCATTTCTTGTGACCATGTAACAATACGGCTCTTGGTGCAGTGTGGTACAAGTCGCCCCTGAGACTCAGTGATATACTTTTTGAGGCCACAAGTGACGCAAATTAGCAAACTCTATTTGGACCATTGGGCTTCGTGCATGACCTCATTGGACACTTCCGTCATGGGTAATACAACTACTGAGGTATATAAAAATTTCTGAAAGCATTCAGCGCTCCCTGAATTGCCAGGAAATGCTGAGAAGCCGCACTTTCTGAAGCTTTACACTTTGAAGATGAAAAGCGCGTGTCGAAAGACGGCCTCCACGTCACTGAAGGAGCGCAGCCGCAACCGAGAATAGAGTGAGAGGGCAGTCAGTACAGTTAAAGTACTTTCTTCTTGGTTCCTCGTTTCCCACAGACAGCTCACATCAATTCAGAGGTTATCCAAAGTTGCCCTGCTTTTTCTCGGCGTTTGAACATAAAGCGGAGCTAAACAGATCGGCTTTCGGGGTCTCGAAACAAACTTTGAGGTTGTCAATGAAGTCTGCTGCACAGATGCTGCATCCGAGCGTAATACATGACGAATATAGCTGTCCGTCTCATTGCCGAGAGAGTACTTACACTGTAGAATATGTGGAGGTGTAAGAGGAGAAGCATCAAAATTGACTCGTTTTCGCCAACCCGTATTGCTCTATGCAGCAAGTAAGGAGACCCGGCTGACCGCAGCACGTGATGGCCGATGTAGCATGATAATATTGTTATTTGTGAGGTCCATGGTTGTACGTGAGCTGGGTTACTGTCTAGGCACCCACAGCTAGGCAGGAAGACGGTTAGGGTAATCAACCAAAACCCTCTGCTAAAAAGCCTGGCCGCAAAGCAGTGGGCAAGTATCCGCATACTACTACAGCAGTATACATCTAATGGACAAATCGCCTTGCTTGCTCCAACCGCCAACCTTGGGAACCAGGAGGCTGTGCTCTTTAGACCTGTATCCGCTGACGTACCTGGTGTGAAAAACTCTGCGAGTGCTAAAATGCAACCCCCAGTATCGCTCAGTGAATCAAAATGTACATAAACCACCACACCTCCACAATGTTCAGTCTTATCACGGTAGTGAAAGATACACGCACAATCATAGTCCACGTAGTGCACTGCCCATGTCATTCGCTACATTTTGTCCACGCTATGGTACATGATAGTAGTTGTGTAAATGAGGCCCTATCCCGATTGCCCAAGTACTCGTCTCCGATAGAAGCAGTGCGAAAGCACGATGGAGTTATCAGGTTCCATTGGCTGGCCTCTAAAACCCCTATGGTAACTGTATATACGACTTGACAGAAATTAGGTTTGACCCTGTTGATAACTGGTGTATCTACTACTGCCCCTTTTGAGTGTCTTAGTGCCGGAAAAAGACTCGCCAACAAGGAACACAACAGATTCATTGTAAACAGGCGAGTGCCACAGTTACAAGAGACCTCGCGCTCTTTGAATGCTACTTTTCATTGACCCATGGTGTTGGTGAATTGATTTATTGGTCGGCTGGCGTGGATGCTTGCCAGCTTCCCCATTGAGATTTTTGTGGAGTTTGGAAGTCTCAGTAGGTTTCAGGCATTCAAGGGTTATTTTCAGTAACCGTACTCAGTAACCATACTCTTATCTGCATCATTTTTCGATCTGCACCCATTTGGCGAACCACTATGGTACATTCAGTAAAATCTATCCACCAAGGTAAATTGGAAGATAGAATAGGTGAAAAGTTGCTGTGTCATGCGACCCATATAACACATTTCACAAGCGGAAGGGCAACTAATCATGGACAAGGTCAGTAACAGTAGTCCTTCCACGTAGTCCGTAGCAATTGCCAGTTGAATTGTAGACCAGTGGGCAGTCAGGCAGTAGTTTTTAATGGCATAAATGGATCTTTTGAGGAATCTTCTTACAATAAAAGAAGGAAAAAGCCCTTCCCTATCGCTGTTCATCCAAAAGCTTCAGGGACAAGTCTGCGGTAGATTTCATTCAGTAAACCCCATTGAAACCCATCGGGATACTGTCATGACATCCACACCTAGACAGGAGGACGAATGTGGTCCCAAAACAAGGTCTTTGGCTGAAAAGCCTGATCACAGGATAGTGGGTAGGTGCCGATACATTACTACAGTAGCATGCATTTTTAAGGAACAAATTCCATTGCCTGTTCCAACCACCAAGCTGAAGGACTAGGAGACTGTTCACCTGTATCTGCTGGCCAACCTGGTACGAAAAACTCTGTGAGTGTCAAAGTTAAACTCCTCAGTATAGCTCACTGGATCAGAGGTACACGAACCGTTACACCGAGATAAGGTCCTATCCCTTTGCAGCGGACTGACTGACTGATATATAGTCAACCAGGAGATCACACTTCTAGTCCCGCAAACGGCTCCTTTTGACTTTCACAAGACACAATAGTTTGTTAGGTAGGTGTAAGAGTAGTTGTCTTCCGAAGGGACTATCGAGTACTGGAAGTCTTCATTTGGCCAAGTTTGTATGTATTATGTTGGGTTGGATGCGCGTGTCAGCGACGTTGTGTCACACCAACCGTCGGAACCCAGCGGGTAAAATCATCGTAGGCTAATCGAGTGACCAAGTCTATGTCTGCACTTTTCCGCACATGAATTTGATGGGAAACTACCAAGCCATCTTCCGATGACTTCCGACGATTTTCACAAGCTGTCCCACTAGTCTTTCCTATACACCGTTTGGAAATGGTACGGGTGGAGAGGCCTGGGCTGGAAAATGTTGATTATTGTCGAAATTATGAACAATGCATAACCTGACAATGATGAAAACATTAAACAGTAAATTCAGCCGGGTCTACAGCTGTCGCCTCCCTGATTGGGCACCCCGGGTCTCAACTCATCACTGGTTATTGACACTGACAGAAATGGCCCAATTGCGCACTCAGTGGCGCACATGCATCAAAGCTATTGCCTTCAGTGCGCAGTTGCTCAGTTCCCGAACTGACCGAACATACCATCGCTTCCAAGACCTAGCCGTATCTCCCGCACTCCTCCAATTTCCGGTGATCGGGTCTGTAGCGCCTGCAACCAGCGTGCCTATGGCACACGGTTTATAGCTGACAAGTTGAAAATTGCATTTGCCGGCTGTTGGTAAAGCCGCGGTCGTTCCACAATTTGGGATACATATCTGGTCGACGTGGACACAACCACTGAGACACCGGTTTATTCGTTTTCGCACATCTTTCATGGAGTAGCCAGTTGAGCGCAAAACTATGTCAGGATTGGCGTACGGTGATGTACGTTTCACTTTTGTCACGACGCATGTGAAGGTGAACCTTCCAGACATCCATCTGCCTCAGTTTTTAGTCGGGACCGTTTGTGCGTCACTGCGTCTAAATTTCCCTTATCAATGGCTATATGACATACCTATCAGAATGAATTGACTGCTCAGGAGGATGAATGTGTCAGCCACATCGACTATTCCATCTGTGAACTTGTTCAGGCTTGCAACAGCGCCTTTTCGGATCAACTCTGACCGGAGCCGTACAGCCGAATTATTTAATTTATTTAATAGTCCGAGGTAGCGCAGTGGTTAGGGTGGAGTTTACCGACTAGAATATCCATGGTTCGAAGCCAACCTCAGCATCTTTATTTATTTCTAGGCTTGGGAAACCTACCAGTATCCCAGCCCTTCTACTTCTTTCGGGTGGCGTGGCAGTTAGGGACCGAATGGGTGCTACAAGGCGTGGCAGTAGGGACCGAATGGGTGCTACAATTGAACACTCCGTAATGAACAAGTCGTATAATGAACATCTCGACCGGTTGCATCCAACTGGGTTGCGTTGAATTGAGTAGACATCATATATCCTGTTCACCACCTTGGAATTATTCTTCCACCACACTAATCTTCACGCTTGTATTGTATTTTCACCATCAAGGTGAACTATACACCTAGTTTTATGTTGAAATTCGCTGGAAGTAAATTAAATGGCAACCAATTATTTCTTGTCAAATTTGGCATATGACATATTCAGGTGCTTGACAATGTTCTTTATTCAGTTGTAGTCTCTTGCTTGGAGGGACATACCGAATCTGGTCCACGCAACTCCCGTGAAGCTTTGTAATACTTTTCGGACATTCCTGTTTATCTCAGGTAATTTTGTGATTTTTTTTACCTCCCTCGATTGCCCACAGAATGCGCGAAATTCTCCCAGTGGTTGCTGCTGGTGCCGGGTTATGCTTTCTAGGTTATTGCATATACTTCGACAGAAAACGCCGTAGCGCCCCCGGATTTCGGGAAAATCTCATGAAAAGTGGGTTTCTGAACATATGCTAATATGCCACCAGAGCGTCGTCAGCAGGCTCTAGATGCACAACGGGCGTGTTCATTACCCATACCTCCCCTCGGTGATCCAGGTGCGATGCACAAGTTCTTTCTGGAGCAAATTCAGCAAGGTGAACTTGCCCTCAGTATGGGTTCGGTTGAGGAAGGTGTCCAGCATTTTGCTGTCGCTGTCACCGTATGTGGGCAACCAACTCAGCTGTTGCAAGTTCTGCAGCAGTCCCTAAGTCCATCTGTATTTACCATGCTTATCGAGGCCCTTCCTTCCGTGAGAAATGTGAGTGACATTGGATGACGTTTATTCTGTTTACTTGTTCGATGGGCATGTGTTTTGTGGAATTCTGTGTTTTTTCGTACGGTCAATGAAACCAGTTGGATAGCCAAATGATGCCTTCATTCTCACATACAGTAATTACAATCATAAAAACGGTTCACAGAAAAAGCGGTCTACAACGAGTGGTACTCCTAACTTCTGTAGAATTCCCCGTCTCTTAATAAGCCATCTTATCTTTGCAGAGTCTGTAGCTTCATTCTGAACACTGTCTTCATTCATGAAGGCAGTTAATCTGACCATCCGCAAAAGTACAAAAGAATCCACTCGTTTCAGTAGTCTTCCTGAACGTTTTCGAATCATTCTAATCATATTTAATCTGGTCTGGAAATGAAAACCAAGAGGATGTTGCTGCTTACTCAGTGGTGAACTTTGCCTCATATCATCAAGCGTAATGTTCTTCCTTCCATTACGTTCTTTTCGTCCGTAGTGTGATGCTTGTTCATCATCACAAGCTCTGCTTACTTGAAGGAAACTACTCACAAGGTTGCTGAAAACTGTTCGACAGCCCACGATCGGTTTCGCCCTTCTTGGGTCTCATCAGGTAGGCGCAGTACCCGAGTTTCCGTCAACCTTACTTACAACCTGCTTACTTGTTTTAATCGATGGCACCTCGAATGCTGAGTAAGACGGTACAAGTGAGAGACACTTCAACTCCAAAGAAATCCACCGAGGGCCCCCTAGTTTGCCCTAGGGTGCTGTTCCTCGAAAGGTGAATGAAGGTGGCTTTAAGTACAGTACTCAGACTACCTTCACTAATAGCTGAAACCGACACTACACTGGCAGCTATATCTTAGCGTGATTTCTCTTAGATAATTGTTCAAGCTCTCTCGGGTTGCTGTCGCTGGCTGATACCCATCCGTCTTATATGGTGGCATCGATTATACTCGAATGATCCTGAAAGTGGATATACAAAAATTGTAGGTACGAGATAGCTAAAGTGGTGGCACAACAAGTAACCCACCGCTACGCACAACTACGCACTGATGATGTCACCTCGATTGGTGATCAAACGTTTGCAACCAAATTGCCCAGCTCAGCGCAGCGACCAACGACCATCTACGCTACCTGAGCTACCGACATTCTCCACTATAGATTTATTTGTTTATTTTTATACTATAGTTGTACTGTACTTAAATAAAGAAGGAAAGTCAAGTGAAAGTAAATAGTCTTGTGCGTAAATAGCTTCTAAAAAACTGCCGCAAGATTAGTATTTTTATGAACTTTTCAACAGCCCAGTAAAGTCATGCTAAAGTAAAGACAACACCTCTTCAGGGGAGGTCGTCATACCGGTCTCATCATCAATATGACAGCTCGAGAGCAACTATACCATTGTTTTTCTGGACAAAGTTTCAGGCATACTTTTGTCGTAAACGGTGGTCATACGTGATATGTCGTCGATACGGCATTTCTGTCAAACTTTTTTTCTTCCGGCTTATCCACTTCGGTTGTTTCCTCTGTTTGTAATGTGATATACGGACCAAGTGGAAGTGCTACAGCAGCATCGCTACGTTGTTAAATTTAACGGCATCCTACACTTTTTTCGATGACGTGCGCACGCGTGAATCCTCACATAATGACCAAGCTTGACACCACCTTAACCTGATCTGTTCAAAGCATCGGAAACTGGCTAGTCCTCTCAAGCTGGAAATAGCAGATAGGTAGCCAGAATTTCGGCTTACATTGCCATCGAGACCTGCCTTTTTCACCACAATTTTCGTACAACTTCGACAGCTATTAACTGGGAGAGCTTTCTGTCGCTATCCTAGTGCACACCATAATGAGTAGATTTGATTGATAGAGCTTCTTACAATTTGTTCCTTGCAGCAAATATTCGGTATGTCCACTCTTCGAACATCTGGAGCCAAAGAAGTTGAGGAAGATTTGGAATGAGGCAGTTGCTACGCAGAACAAAGAGTCACTCTGATTCCATTGTATATGAAGTACCCAAATATAGACCTGTCTTAGTTTGCATTGTGTTACTTTTGGAGATGTTGCAAACTGTTGGTAACCCGAATGTTGTGTTTATTTATTTATCCTATACGACTGTTTCTCCCTTCCCCCGGAACATAAACCACTGATGGAAACCGCCCAAATGGTCTTCCTAGCCTTGGATCAGGAGGTTAATTACTTTGAATTACCGTTTTACGGTATATCAATATGGTGAGCACACCATACAAGTATCTCCTGTCGACCGGAATTCGGCTTTAAATCTGCTCTGAGGCGAAGCCACTTCCTTGAAAACGCCGTGCTAGTCTTCTTACGAGGGGAGAACGTATACGTAGCTTTACTTCCGTTGATAACACCAGACAGTGAATACAGTTATGCATTGTTATGACCCACTTTGAAAGTCTTATATGCAGACCACTTATAGCATTGGTCTTATAGCAGACCACTTTTCTGATGCACAAAATATCACGACAGAAAAATAGTACAGGGCTACTCCCATGTACCACACACCCTGAAGTGTAAAGGTAGTCTTGTGCTTCAGTCAACGCTAGATGTAGAAGCTGAATGGCTATCAGCTAATTCTAAGGACCGTTGTATCAGCCAGCTTCCATGAGAACTTCTGTGACCCCGAGCTGGCTCAGTTAAGGCATGAACTTACTGACTGGAAGGTCCGTGGTTCGAATCCAACCCCGGTATCTCGACTACTCCTGTCTAAGCTTGTATTAACCCTAGTGCTTCCTAGTGATGTGACAGCTAAACGACTTTTGTTATCAGAACCGTAAAAACTTAATTTGGTCCTGAAGTGAGGGATAAATATACTCAAGTAGCATACTGCTGTCCTGTAGAGCTTGTTTAGTTCGGTCGATCGAGAAGCTTCCAAAATTCTAATCGCCAGTTTCAGATCTGTCAAAATGTGGCGGTTAACGCAACTCTGATCTGTTGGTCTGTGCGTAAGATATCTATGTGAGACTTCCAGCGTCTCATACCGAATTAGCTTTAGGTAACTGTTCGAATATTCCTTATCACAACCACTACCAGCGTTTTTATAGAAAGTTCAGCAAATCACGAGGCCTACCAAATCTGATGGAGGACTGGACACATCCGATGAGTTCGGTTTGGGCCCGTACGGGTATACGGGAAGCTCTCGCCCTAGTTCACCACGTCCAGTGACGCAAGACAAGGTTGTTCTCCTCCTTTCCTGTTTAACTTTATCATTGATATGCTGCTTGAAATTTCTCTGCCTGGCTCTGAAACCTCGGGAGTCGAAATGCTCCCGGGATGTTCGCTCACAGAAAATGAGTATGCAGGTGATATTGCTCTTCTTGGTTCAGATCTATTTTAAATAACCTAAATAACTGCTGCACGGTTTGGCATGTACTTCACACCTGCAAAGTGTAAAGTGCGGCTACAAGACTGGATGGGATCAAACCCACAACTCATGCTTGCAGGTGGGCACATCGACGTGGTAGATAAATTTGTTTACCTGGCAGCTGTGTAAATTCCAGTGGATTGGCTGGAGATGGGGTTATTTCTCGAATCGGAAAGGTCAGAGCAGCTTTTGCCAACCTCCGACACCTATGGCGCCGGCAGGACGTAAGCTTCTCTGTCAAGGGAAGAGTACACTGCGGTGGTGCGATGCATACTGCTTTATGGATCAGAGACCTGGCCCTCACGCGCAGAGGACATACGAAAGATGTCAGTGTTTGATCATCGGTGTCTCTGCGGCATTGGTCAGGTCTGGTGGGAACATCGGATTAGTAATGCTAAGTGCGCCAGATGGTTTTAGGAAGAAGGAACTCTCCCGCGATAGATGAATTACTCACGCTTCATAGGTTGCGCCGGCTGGTCTTTCGCATGACAGAAGACTGTCTGCTCCACAGAGCTCTTTTATCCCAGCCCTGTGCTGAGTAGAAGCGATCGAGAATTGCACAGTGTATGACCTGGTAACGAAGTACGAAAATACTAACCAGTTAGCTTAGTCGGGTTGAAAACGGCCGCCTCCCTGGATGGGGACCCCGAGACTCAAATCACCAGTGGCGAAAATGGTCCAATCGCACAGTCAGTGGTGCTCATGCATCGTAGCTATCGCCTTCAGTGCATTGGTACGTTGTGCCTTAACTAAACATGCTACCCGTGTTGGTGTCACGTTCCGAGTGATTATCGTATTTGTGCATGGGTTCTGTTGCTTGCCATAACAATATGCGTTGTCTTCGTCCAACTACTCCTGATATTGGCGGCCGGATCCGCAAACCAGAAGTTGTCCAACTCCCAAGTTCATACATTGGTACTCCTCATCGCGTTCCTTCCCTTCGGATGGACCGGTTTGCACGCCACTGGTGGCATCCATTCTATAAAGAATCGTTCAAAGGGCTGTTGCCTCATCATACCGTTTTGTCAGTAGTTACTACCAAACTACTGTCCCAAGACGGTCTTCCAATGAACTCAGCCAAGTGACCTCGTCAGGATTATGTGTAATTGACCCACGGTATTATTTAAGGGCTTTTTTGTTCTTAGAAGTTCTCCAGGGAACATTTGATGACCCCAGGTTTGTGAATTTGTCCACCTCATTTCAAGCACAACTGTTCCTCTCTTGGTGGACCAAGTGGAGAGCCCACTCCAAATAGTTATCTTGCATGCTGTGTATTTCTATTAAAAGTAGCTTCAAAATATCATCCGAAGGTGATCGCTTCAGGGGGGGGGTGCTTGTTACTTGTCACCCATCTTAAAATCTTATTTGAAGCCTCTTGGCCACTATGGAAACAGTCACCTCCAAATGTGATGCCTGCCTTTTTAGGACAAAAGAAGCCGTCCGTAGTTTTATATTGTATTTGTTGGGAGAAGTTTTCGTGTCACAGGAAAAGATAAATAGGTTTTTGTTCTGAATCGGAAAGCTAAAAATAACAAGCTGACAAGAGGTCAATTAGCTTGATACGGGGGTCAAGTGGTTTATGTTGAGTGATTTTCCTCCGGTGAAGCCCAGTCGCTCCGCAAATATTTCCGTTAACTTTTCACACTAATCCTTATTTTGTAGCTCCCCTCAACCATGTTGTTTACACTTGGTTTGATCATCTGCACTTTATGGATGGATTCTTGCGCAGCGCAACGGGATCCGTTTGACATGTTTGCTGAGGTCGATCACCCCCTTCAAGAACTTTCGTCGGACTTCATGACCAGTAGTCCGCCTGCTCGAACTGATCAAGAGATAACCACAATGGAACACTACAAAGAGCTTCATCGTGTTCTAGTGCGTATCTTGTGGAACAGTCTGCGGATTTCAGATCTGTCAGCGCCGCAAGAACAAGTGGTCGAGCTCCAGATACATGCCATACTGGATGTAAAAGATATGGCTCTACTTGCGCAATATTGCAGCCTAAATCGGACGGTTTCACGTACTGTATCAGCTGATACAATCAACTCAATATTCTCACGACTATTTACGTCGGTGACCGTTGCGTCAGACATAGAGACGTACTTTTGGTGGTTGTCTCCATCCAAGTTTTTGTATTCTGCGATTTTTAGCCTTGTTATGTTGATCTTGATTTCCCTTATCTTTCATATTGGACTTCGCCGCTTGTGGTTGTCTGTTCCTTGCCTTATTATTGCAGCTATCGTCGTCCAATCTTTGGTTAAAAAGTACCATGAACGCCTGGCTGAGAAAATGTCTGTTTTGTCTCGTTACGACGGTCCTCCTGATCACTGTAAACCTCGTCATCTTCAGTCTTGGTCTGTATGGCTGTCTGGACTATTTTCACTTCGACCCGGTCATGACGAATGTGCTCACTATTACCAACACATTGTTAGCGAACCTTGGATCTCCGCAAGTCTGGAGGAAACCATTTGGGAGTTGGTTATGGGACCAATCGTCACTTTTGGCCGGATTTCAGGCAAAAGTGTTGGACTTTTCTATGATAACGTTGTGAACTATGTTCCATTTTGGGTTGCCGTACTGTTGATCCCGCTATGTCTGATGGTCAGTGTTATCCCGTTCCTATGTTTTGTTCGCTTTCTCCTTCTTACTCCAAAGGTTTCTGTTAGCAGGCGGCGACCGAAACATAAGCAAATAAAATCTCAATCGCTACCATCGATTACAAAGAACTAACTGATGTATATGTCTATTCACTCGAATGTATTTATGTCTACATTTCATGTGGCTGCGTCGGTTAAGGAGAACATTATTTTGCACTTGTTGGATGTTTAGCATTTAATAAGGATGATGATATCCGGGTAGTGACTTTAGCGGTCAGACGGTTCAAGCCAGTTCGGTGTTCGGGTTATTCGTCGTCCTCAATTTTCATTCCAGGGATAATGTTGTGTCGTTAATATCTGGCTGACTATTATTTCAGCTATTTTTAACAAGGTAACGCGCCCCTGATCCCTCTGCATATCAGCGTAGGGGGTTTTGCTTTGTATTCTGCTATGCTTGTGTTGCCATTTGCAGTGAGCAACTTGGGGAGGCTTTTCATGATCATTGGATCCTTGCAGCCCTTCATTAATGCCGTTTGCTCTGTTTGGACTTAGTCCTTCCTTCAATAGTTGGCTCAGTTATACTTCCATATTTGAAGAGAATCCGTTGTGTAAGATCTAAAATGTCCAGGAAATCACTGGTCTCATAAAGGCCTCACACAGCGAAACACGTTTGCCCTGTCATGTTAAAGGTGACCGTACCTCACGATTTATGCATATATGAGTGGATGTTATTACGAACTAGGTGTTTGGGTAGACGAACGAATCGACTCGCCGTTGACTTCGAATTAAAGTGTCGACCTCGACAGGATTCCTTCGTGAATGTTCGCGTACTACCTTACAAGTCTGTTTTGTTTTATAAACTATGCACTGCTGTCCACGCTCACAGAAGTAGTTGATCTCTTTCATGTTCAATAGGCCCTAACAGTCATAATTTTGTGGAACTTTCGTTTATTACGATGGAACACTGACACTAACACATCGACAATAAATATCGATACGTACCTGCGCCACAACTACGGTTAAAGGAGTGCACTAATAAGAATCCATGCCCTTTACTCTCAGTGGGCCCCGTTGAAGCAAGCTAATCTGAGGAGTGTTTGAACAAGATTCGACCCTGTCCTTTAATTTGCTCGTTGGGATCGATAGTTCACCTCCGTCAATGGAAGCAATGTCATCCATTTGTGCAGTGGAATGGCTTGTCCATTTAGTTTCCTTGTACATTTTTGTACACGTGCTGCCAACCACGACTTACCTTCGATTTCGGGTGTTAGTTTGGACAACCGCTTTCGGTTGGCTGACATCTAGGTGCCGTTTGGGCTTCGCCTCTAAGACACTTATCTGTCGGTGCATCAGTTTTTTTCCTTATCTTGATGTCCCATGTTGTGATGTTTGGGCAGGATTCAAAGTGTTTTCTAATTACTTGGTCGACCTGGATAGCTCTTTGAAAGTCCATTTTAGCACTGTAACCGCAATAAGGTAATGTTTCTCAGTTCAGGGGAAAATGGGCAGACGTAAGGCAGTGAGACATCAGTATATGAACTGATGTTGCTGTCTCTGGTGATGACGAACGGGAAAAGATAGGTTCAGTAGCGGAGGTGTTGCATCCGAGCAGCAAAGTTGTGGAAAAGAAACGCAACTTTCATTTTAGCAGCACAGAAAGATAAATATTCAACTTTCGTAGAACTAAAACGATTGAAGCTGGTGAATGTAAGACAGCATTACACTTTGGAGCATGGAGGGCAAGGGAGGCAACGTCCGTCAACCGCGTCCTGCAAAATTGCGTGCATTTTACTGTGATGATGTTGCATACAGTCACGTGTGTACATTGTACCTAAGTCGCAGGTCACGTGCACAATATAACTGAAAAGAGGGGAAGGTGTAGCATTTGGAAGACAAGTAGGGATTGGTAGGGAAAGAAAATTCTTTCATCAAAATATGTGAATCGTTGGTAAAATACGCCCCAACTAAAATGACCAAAAGAACTCAGTCTCTTCGGTTCAAAGGGTTTTGTAAAAAATCGGTGGATTTATTGCTTCTCTTCGGTCAAAGGGTTTTGTAAAAAATCGGTGGATTTATTGCTGAGTAAATTTTGCTTCTGACTCAGTTTTTTGTTGGGATAGAAACCCTCTTTCAACAAGACCAAAGTCGCTGTTATGATCAAGTTACATCCTCATCATCATCGACAGCATGACATCAGTGTTCAACACCAATGCTTCACTGCCGTACAACCTGTCACGAAGAGACTGGACCTTACCCTGATGTGACGGTTTGCGCACCTCAGTGATCCATTCAGCCATACTGGGGAGTGTCCCCGTGACACTCGCAGCATCTGTCAATGGTTAGAGGTCTGACAAAGACAGTCTCCTAGCCCTCGATATTGGGGGTTGGAACAGGTGGCGACTTGTTCCGTAGAAATGGTAATGCATTTGCATTTCCCGCCAAACACCGCTGCCTTGCGGTTAGGCTTTTGAGCCAAAGTCTTTGGTTGAGGACCCTAATCGTCCTCCTGTCTAGGTGTGG